AGCCATTTTCTTTTCTTTTTTTTTTTTTTTTTTTTTGTCTTTTTGAGGTAGGGTCTCACTATGCAGTTCATTTTTTATTTTGACACAGGATCTCACTAAATTTCTTGGCTGGCCTTAAACTTTCAGTCCTTTTGTCCCAGCTTCCCTAGTGGCTGGGATTGCAGGTATTCTCTTTGTATGGTCCAACTCAGATGTTCTTTATATATAGCAAGAAGAACTTAAACATTAGGAAATCTCTTTTGATTATGCTTCCAACAGGACTTGAAGTGACACCCTAAAAAGACCATTTTCTTCACCTTACACATTTTCTGTTTTCTATCTTTCCATTTAGGTGCCCAGGGCATCTGAGATAGCATCTGAAAAGCATCTAAGGCAATCTTCATGTCTTTAATAGATCTCCTATTTGAGTTTTGAAACATGGCTTTAAACATGAGTCAAGGTTTTCCTAAGCTTCTGTGATATCTAAAATAATGAAAAAAGTACCTCTTTCCAGGATGGTTCTTTGTTACTGGAAGAATGGCTCAAGGTGCAGGCTCCTGGTGACATTATTCATCAGCTGGCTTCTTCCCAGTAACTGCTCTGCTGAAGGAGACCCTGACACTGGGCTGCTCTCAGGTAGAGAGAGGCATTTGATACTTCTGCTGGAAACCGCTGATATCTTTTCATCTTATTCCATCCCCTGTGTCATGGACTGTTTGTTAAAATAGCTTCCATGATTCTCCTCCATGTCTGTATACCCTTGGTTAATCATCTTTCACACTAACTCTTGGCTCAGCCTTGAGACTTGCTTTGATCAATGAGATAACAGCAAATGTGACCAAGGCAGATTGCTCATTGTCTTAGTTCACTCTCTCATTGCTCGTACAAAATATCTGGCACAAGTTAAAGCAGGAAAGGTTTATTTTAGCTCAGTTTGTAGAGGTTTAGGTCCGTGGTCAGCGGCTTCCAAGGCAGGGCAGCATGGCATGGCAGGCAGGAGGCAGCAGCCTGCCTTCCTTCTTTCCCTTTATTTTCCATCCAGAGTGCAAGCCTATTGGTTGGTGCCACCCACATGCAAGGTGAGGCTTCCCCTTTCAATAATTCCATTACCCACAACTATGCTAAACCAATCTGTAGACTAATCAAGCACCCATAAT